TATATATATATATATATACATACACATGTGTATGTATTTACAAGATACAGGGTCTTGCCATGTTGCCTAGGCTGGTCTCAAACTCCTGGGCTCAATCAATCCTCCTGCATCAGCCTCCCAAAATGCTGGGATTACACATGTGAGGGTGTATATTACAGTAAGGAATTATATTTGGCTGCATGTAAGAGAGCCCTTACTGCAGTGGTTACTTCACATGGAGTTTTGTATTTCTCCTGTATATCAGAAGTGCTGAGGTGGGCAGTCCTGACTGGGAATGCAGCCTGCAAAAGACTTCAGGGACAAATATTCTTTTCTTTCTGTCCATCATCTTATGTATTTGGCTTTAATCTTCATGTTTCTTGCCTAGTAGTCACATGATGCTTGTCCTATCTTCAACAACCATTTTCTAGGCAGGAAGAAAGGGCAAAAACCTATGCCTGCGAAGTTTGCCCCCTTTAAAGAGTGTCTCTAGAAGCCCCATCCGAAGACTTCTATTTACATCTTCTTGGATAGATTGGATCATTAGTCAATGTAATATTAGTAACTGGACACATTGCTACCTTGAATATAATTCGAATTCTTTTAATAAGGGAGAAAATAATGAATATGAAGAAGCAACTGCTAGTGACTATCACTATTTTTAAGAGTTCCTTGTAAACTGAAGCTATTAAGTCCTTTTCTACTGCTTATGTTGTGCATCAGCCTCCCAAAATGCTGGGATTACAGATGTTATTGTCGTTGGGAATTATATTTGGCTGCATGTAAGAGAACCATTACTGCAGTGGTTAGTTCACATGGGTTTTCTATGTGGGTTAATAAATTTTCACATAGACATTGTGAATTTTTTGTGGTTAAATCTATTAGTTTTTTTGTTTCTTTCATGCTCCATTAACAATCTGTTTAATTAAGGGTTTTTTTTGGCTATTATTTTTGAAAACATCTACTCAGGGATCTCAGACCCAAGGAAAGAATTTTACCTAAAATATTTTTAAAACACTGGTTTAATGTTATTTATTTTTTAAATTTTTTAATTTGAATAACTTTAGGTAGAGAATATACTCCAGTTGTATTGCAACTGCCACTATTCTCGACTGGCTTATAAAGATCCACCCAGTTTACTTGTTTATGGCTGGCCTAAAGGTATTTGAGTTTAGATAGGTTCAGATATTATTGGAATGGTTTCAAATGAACCAAAACCTGGGTGTCCAAGTCATATGTGGTCCATGTGACTAATATGAGAGAAACAGCAAACCGTTTACCCATTGCTGCCATCATCTAATTGTTATCAGGTGTCAGTAAGCTTGCATTAATTTGTGAGAGAAACCGAATTGACTATTATGATGTACTTATCTTTGTGTCTAAATGTCTCAGTCTGCTTGTTATAGATTCAATTATAATGGCAACAATTTTTCCTGGTGTTTGAATAAGTTAATGTATAAAACTAATATCAGCCTTTATTACCTATATGGAAAATCAGCATTTGTATCTTTTTACTAAAATTCCTTAGTCTGGTATTAAGGTGTGAATTTTAAAGTCATTATTTATCTAGAAATAATTATATATTTATTAGAGTGTCTATTGTTTCTTGTAGTTAAAAGCCAGTCATAATATAAGATACATATTTCTGAATGAAAAATATAGATAGAATATCATCATTTGTCACATTTAGTGTCTTTTTTTTTCTTAACAGACTTTGCTTCGCCCTCTACAAGCTTTATGCTCTTTCCAACTTCAGCATGGTGCCCAAATTCGCCTCAGCAAGGAACACCTTCTGAAAAATGGATTATATCCTAAACCAATGCCAAAGAACAAACGCAAACTCAGGAAAATGGAACTGTTAATGAATAGTGTTAAAATTTAGTACAGTTGTTCATTTGGTGCTAGCTTACCCGTCTTCATCTAGCAATACCAAGTTAAGTTTTCATATAGTGTAGGTCTGTAGGTTTTTTCACTTGGTAGCGAAGAATGAGAATTGCATACTAATCTTGCCCAGAAGAAGGAAGTAAACCAGATATTCATAAAAACAAACTAACAAAAATTCAGTGGCTTACTGAAAAGATTTCACACTGTACATGTTTTTTAAAGTGTACCTTTATTACATGTTTTCAAACCCGAATTTGAAATGTGATTTACTGTTGAGCTGGGTTAGAAGTTCTTGCTTGTAAAATAGAAGGAAATTGTTGTGGTGGATTGGAACAGTACTGTTTCCATTAATGTTTATAAATAATTAGGTGTAGACCAATAGTATATCTACATCGATTTGCAGTCCTAACATTATAGTTTGAAATAAGTAGCAAAGGAAAATTATGATAATGAAGTAATTTATTATTTTGTAAAATAGCATAAAGGAATAAGGAAACTTTAAGTATTGTTTAGAGGCTAAATTTGAACTCTGCTAATATGATTTAAGTGTTCTATTAATTGCCCTAATTTTTAAAGAGTTACATGTAATTTTGAAAAAGCAAACATTTCATTTGCAATCACTCTGGATAAATTTTTATTTTTCACTGTTCATTGAACAGGCTTATTGACTATAGTAAAGTTATTTTACTGACTTTTTCTTATGGAAAATAATAACTGGAATGTGATAAAGCTTATTTTCAGAACATATTTCTCTAAGTAGGGCTATTTAAAATAACCTTTTTAATGAGAAAAAATTTGAGAGAACAAATTCCTCCTGCTCTTTGGGAAAATGTTTACCGAGATTTTGTATAGAATAAGAGACATATATGTAACATATATTTATGTTCAGTATATATTCAGCATAAGTCTGCTGCAATTATGTACACATTTTGGCAATAATAGGGGATTTTGTTTAGTCTTTGTTTATGACTTCTAGAGTTTCCTGTATCTAGTGTTAAGTTGTAAGGAAAAGCTAAACATGCAATTTAAAGGTAAGCTTGATAACTATGGAACATAAGCATATGCCAATGATTATTTCTCACAGTTTTCATCCTCATTTGCTTATTATTTACTTGGATTAGACTCATTAAAAGCTATAATGCTAGTCACAATTAGAATGCTAATATTTGGGGAAACTATGCAGAAAGTATTTCAAAATGTTAAAAGTTAGAGTACTATCTTCTGTTGTTGATTTATTTTTGGATTTGAAAACAATTAGCGCTGGCCCAGTAGCTCACACCCTGTAATCCCAGCACTTTGGGAGGCTGAGATGTGAGAATTGCTTGAGCCCAGGACTTTGAGACCAGGCTAGGCAATATGGTGAAATCCTGTCTCTAAACAATTATTATGTTTTAATAATTAGCCAGACAAGGAGCTATGCTCTTGTAGTCTGAGCTTCTTGGGAGGCTGAGGTGGGAGGATCACTTGAACCCAGAAGGTCGAGGCTGCAAAAGTTATGTTCATTCCACTGCAATGCAGCCTTACTACAGAGTGAGACCTGCCTCAAAAAATAAACAAACAAAACCAGCTCATTGACAGTGTAAAACACCTAATATCAAATGATTATTTGGTTTACTAGAAAAGAAGCAGCATATAATAATAATGTATAATAGTTTCTTAACAAGTGGGGCTAAAATCATTTTACAGTAATTTTTCACATTGATATTAAACTTCATGAGTTTCCTTTAGTCATTTTTATGTTTTAAAAAGAAAACTCACCCCTCCCCTAAAATGCCATTTTGTAACTCAAAATTTTACTTTGTTGATTTTTAAGAGTAATTTCTACTTTTATCTTTAAATAAAACATTTTAGAGTATTTTTGAAGCCTTAAAAAGCTTTAAATTTAGTGTTTTTGGAAATGTATAAGATTTCCTATTAGGTATGTATAGTTTTCCAAATAATTCTACTGAACTCACTTCACTTGCTTTTTACTTATTTTTTCCTGACCTCTTAACAAGTTGAGTCCATTTAATCATCTGTGCTATAAAATGCTTCTCTAATCACCTGTTTTCTTTAAACATTTTTAAGTAAGTTTTCAAAGCCATTATTACTAAAAGTATTCAAAGTGTAGTATTATGTGAGCATTTTAACTGAAAATTTAATCAGGCTTTTAAAAAATTATTTTTTTATTGTATTAGTTGGCTTTTAAATTCAGATTCTTTATGTTTGCTTGATTTTCCTGGAAGTTTTAGGTTTTATAAATTTGTAGCTGATAGTAGGCTTGACTTGCATACCCTAACTGCACTTTGATACGGTGTAGATAGTTTTGTGAGTTATTTGAACCATATAACTCAGAGATTAGTATTTCCTTATATATAAAGTGACCTCACTTTTAATGAGGCCATTTATACTGTGTTGAAAATCACTGTCTGTAATGAGAGATAGTGAGAGTTTCTCACACATACGAGTATAAAGGGTTGAGAATTATGTTGTACAAAGTAAGTCACAGTTCATGACAACTTTCTACAGGTTGGATTACAAGACTTTTTTTGTGGAATAGGAGAAGTGTATCGAGAACAATTTTTTTCTCTAATTTTAAGAGTCCGGAGATACTTTTCTTAGCCATAACCAGTAATATTTTTCAAAGAGTTTGCAAGGAATAAGCTCCTCACTATACCACCAGTTAGTGATTTTTTTTTTTTTTTTACTTTTTTTTAAAATTTATTTTATTGCAATTTAGGTTTTGGGGTACATATGAACAACATGCAAGATTGTTGCATAGGTACACACGTGGCAGTGGGATTTGCTGCCGTCCTCCCCATCACCTACATCTGGCATCTCTCTCCTTGTTATCTCTCCCCAACTCCCCACCCCCCACCATCCCTCCCCTATTTTCCCCCAACTGACCCCAGTGTGTAGTACTCCCCTCCCTGTGTCCATGTGTTTTCATTGTTCAACACCCGCCTATGAGTGAGAACATGCGGTGTTTGATATTCTGCTCTTGTGTCAGTTTGCTGAGAATGGTGGTTTCCAGGTTCATCCATGTCCCTACAAAGGACACAAACTCATCGTTTTTGATGGCTGCATAATATTCCATGGTGTATATGTGCCACATTTTCCCTGTCCAGTCTATCGTCGATAGGCATGTGGGTTGGTTCCAGGTCTTTGCTATTGTAAACAGTGCTGCAATGAACATTTGTGTGCACGTGTCCTTATAGTAGAACGATTTATAATCCTTTGGATATATACCCAGTAAGGGGATTGCTGGGTCAAATGGAATTTCTATTTCTTGGTCCTTGAGGAATCACCACACCGTCTTCCACAATGGTTGAACTAATTTAGACTCCCACCAACAGTGTAAAAGTGTTCCTATTTCTCCACATCCTCTCCAGCATCTCGTCTCCAGATTTTTTAATGATCGCCATTCTAACTGGTGTGAGATGGTATCTCAATATAGTTTTGATTTGCATTTCTCTGATGACCAATGATGATGAGCATTTTTTCATATGTTTGTTGGCCTCATATATGTCTTCTTTTGTAAAGTATCTGTTCATATCCTTTGCCCACTTTTGAATGGGCTTGTTAGTTTTTTTCTTGTAAATCTGTTTTAGTTCTTTGTAAATTCTGGGTATCAGCCCTTTGTCAGATGGGTAAACTGCAAAAATTTTTTCCCATTCTGTTGGTTGCCGATTCACTCTAAAATTAACTCCAGATGGATTAAAGACTTAAACATGAGACCTAACACCATAAAAACCCTAGAATAAAATCTAGGCAAAACCATTCAGGACATAGGTGTAGGCAAGGACTTCATGACCAAAACACCAAAAGCATTGACAACAAAAACGAAAATAGACAAATGGGACCTAATCAAACTCCACAGCTTCTGCACAGCAAAAGAAACTTTTTTTTTTTTTTTTTTTTAAAGAGACAGGGTCTCCTTCTGTCACCCAGTTTGGAGTACATTGGTGTAATCATAGCTCACTGCAGCCTCATACTCCTGGGCTCAAGTGTTTCTCCCGCCTAAGTCTCCCACGTAGCTAGAACTTCAGTCCCATGCCACCACACTCAGCTAATTTTAAATTTAATTTAATTTTTTGAAGATAGGGGGTTCTGGCTGTGTTGTTTAGACTGGTCCTGAACTCCTGGCCTCAATTGATTCTTCTGCCTTGGCCTCTCAGTTAGTAAATTATATAGAAAAGCACTTCTGTATAATTTATTCAGTTTCTTCATCACATATTTCCAACTGTTGCCCTAAATAGGTTTAAAAATGTGATCATGTTATAAGAAAATCCTTTCCATTGAATTCAGGGATGCTGAATTTCAGGGAGCTAAATTGTTGACCTTTGTATGTAATTGTTATTGGTATAAAAGTAAATTTTATTGATGGTACAAGTGAAAAATTAGATCTGACTTAGTAAACTCAAAAATTTTACATAACTATATTTTACTATGTAGATGTATTTCTTTAAAATAGAGATGGACATTTTTATGAATAAATAATACTGCGTTATAGATGGAATGAAACTTTGCATTTAATTGTGCCTCATAAGTAGGCCTTTTGTAGAATGAATCACTATCTCTGAAATTGTCCAATCTAAATTTTTATTGGCTACATTAACTTAAAGCATATTCTCTCTCTTTTCACACTTTTTCCCTCCTTCCCAGACTCCTCCTTTTTCTCTTTCATCACCTACATTGTCCTCCTTCCTTTTCTACTATTCTTATCATATGTTTTAACGGTCATTATTTATACAAGAACTCATATATCCTTGCATAAGCATTTTTTAAAACAAAAGATACTGTAGTGGTCTTAACAGTTTACAATTTTATATTTAAAAATTATTTAGGAAATATGGAAATCCATGACTTTTTACACCATGCTGATTACTTAGCTTCTGTCTTAGTTCATTCCGGCTGCTATCTCAGAATACCAGACACTAAATAGCTTATAAACAACAGATATTTATTTCTCATAAGTCTGGAAGCTGGGAAATACAATATCAAGGTACAAGCAGACTTGGTGTCTGGTGAGGGGCCCACTCTCTGGTTCATAGATGGTGCATTCTAGCTGTATCTTTATGTAGTGGAAGGGTTGACCTAGCTCTCTGGGGCCATTGGGACCTAGTCATCCCGCAAAGGTTCCACTTCCTGATACTATACCATGGGAATTAGGGTTTCAACATGTGAGTTTTGTGGGGACACACACATTCAGACCATAGCAACTCCTGTACTCTATTAAAAAGCATATTAGAGAAATAAGTAAGTGTCTTTCAATTTTTAAGAATTACACACTTGAACTAACAATGTAAGAATTATTTTTAAAAGAAACTTTAATGTAAGGTTTTTAAAAAAAATTATTTGGATAAGAAACTATTCTATATGACTTACTGTTAATTGTTACCCTTAGAAATATACTTAATTAAAACATTTAAAAAAAGTGCACCTACCTTAGGATTATTTTCATCACAGAGTACTCCTTACTGATTTTGCATACAAATACTGTTTATTCATTTCTCCCTCCAAATGTGTTATTTGCAAGGGGAAAATTTTCTGATTTTTTTGTATACAAATGCAATTTTATGAAAATTGTTGCTAGGAAAGCAGGCAATGATTTACAATATGATCATTAGATTTTATAAACTTACTGTGTAGTATTTTAGCTTTATTAAATACCTTTATTTCTAAAGTTGCTTCTTAGTAAAATCAATGAAGAAAGATGTTTAAATGTATGTCATTTCGAGTCTAAAATGTAAAACTTCCCTTTTTTTCCATTTCTAGAATTGTCGATAGTTATTTAAATGAAACCAATGTTTTAGCATCATATTTTAATACTTACTTTTTTGGTAACTCTCTGAACTCTTGCAAATTCAAATTCTAAGTGGCAAGCCATGGCAGATAGTTTCATCCAAGGCATATATGGTCTCCTATAAAAGAAAAAAAATTCACTTAGTGAGTAAGGTAAAAGTAAAGATTAGTAGATAAAATGAGTATCTTTAAGGTAAAATACGTCATTAACAAAGTGACTAATTCTTTAATTTGTAAAGTGTTTCGTAAGTTAAAGTAGGAAAAGTGAATTATAGTGTCATTTCTTGGCTTTTCACTTGTGCTAATTGATTTCATTTCTTCAAAGAGTATTGGTCATCATTTAGTTCATTAATATCTTTGTTGATGGGATATAGTAATAGTTTACTTAGAACTAAACAGCTGCAGTTTCTAATATCTAATAATCAATAAATTCCTAATATAATGCTAAACCTCATTTTCATTTAAAAATAGTTAAATCACTAATAATCATGGTTATTTTGTTATATACTCTTACTATTGTTGATAACAAAAGTTATTTGAATTGTTTTTAAAAAAGTAATTGCCATAGTTTTTTGTTGATGATTCTCATTAATCTTATCATTAAAATATAATAAACATTTAATTTGAAATATATGAATTATATCTAGTATTTAGCAGCAAAGAGGAGAGTCTGTTAATATCTCTCCCCATGCATGTACCATTAGTTTGGATAATGAATATATTATGTTAGTAGTGAAATAAGGTTGGATTTCCATAAAATATCAGGTTTTAGTATATGTTAGCATTTTCTGTAACTTCTGTCTTTTATGTTTAGTAGATAGATTTTAATTTATTTAATTAGTGATTCTCAGTAATTAGTCCAATAAGCCATTCATTTATTCAATAGATGCTTTAATTAGCACTTACTAAGTGCCAGGCACTATTTTAAATGCTAGAGAATACA